GTTTCCGTGAAATTTTGTGCGGGCTCTCGGGATAAGACGTTTCCCGGGCCCTCCAATATGTCGATGATGGATGGGATTGGTTTGATAAAGGGGAAACATTCAATTCGCTTCTTTGATCTATCCCGATGATTTTATGATCTGTTATGTAGCATGTATTCTTTTTTTTTCGATATCAATACACAATTGTATAGTATCAGACACACCTAGTATTTTGTCACTCTGCTTCCGCGACCTGATGTCTTGCAATCTTCGGAATTCTTTTTGCTCCTCCTCTCTCTTCCCTAAAGAAAAACATGACAGGCACTCCAAGTGCCTTATCATCAAATCTTTGGAATATTCGTGGCCCACGGATACGTAGTTGGCATGGCGGACCACGGGCTGAGATCGTTGTAATCGCGAGTGGTATTTTTGCCTTGAAGGATCCTTTGAACAAACGGCAGGACATTCGTACTGAATTTTTAGATTAGCTCGCTCATAGTCTTTGGCGGATCGGCTCCTTCTCTTCACCTGTAGGACCCTTCTCATGCCAGACGGAAAGGAAACAAAGAGTTACTCACTAGCCACTCATATCGCAGTGCCCACCACTACGGACCGCCATGGCGATCTGATCCCCGGCGCCGAGCCAGTCGTACACGGCCTTGGCCGCCGGATACACGACCACGGCCGTGGCCTTGGAGTTGGTGTACGGATCGCCGGTGCCCTGGTCGATGACCAGCGCGCGCGGCGCAATCGCCGCGGCCACGGTGTGGGCGTCGTAGGGCAGGTTCTCGGCATGGTTGACAAAGGTGCCCAGCGCATTATCACTCCACCAGCCCGCCCCGGCCTTGCTGTTCTCGAGCGTCTCGTCCTGGCCCGACATGTTGTGGTACCGGTAAGGGCCCAGCCCTTGCACGCCCGAGGACATGGGCATGGTCAGGGCGATGCGAGCGTCGAGCAGGCCCGCGGCGAGGGCTCCTTTGCCCAGGCGCGAGCAGCCCGTCGCGCCGGCCCGAGCGGCGTCGATCTCGGGGACCGTCTGGTTGAGGGCGTCGAGGGTGCGGTGGAAGCCCCAGGCCCAGGCTGTCAGGACGCCTGATTTGTTTGACAAAGTGTCTTGTTAGTTGTACTCTCCAAAAAGTGTGAGAGCTTGAACCTAAAAGAACAATGGCATATGTATGATCATCTAGGACATATTCAAAAGTCAAACCATACCTATATCTCTCCCCTTGTACAGATCCCAAAACGCGCCCGTCTTGGAATTGCTATCCGCCGCGACAGACGTGTAATCAAAGCCAACAACGGCGATGCCGGCAGAGAGATACGGCTGGTTCGCCATGCCGCCGATATTGATGACGACGGGGACCGGGCTCGCCGCGCTCGCCCCCGACGGCAGCGCCAGCGTCGCCTTGAACCTGCCCGTCTTGCCCGCCGCCGCGACCTCGATGTTGACCGTCGTCCCGCTGCGCGTGGCCTTTACGCTCTCCTGGCCGTGGTCCGGGTAGTACCCGTACTGGTACTCTTGCAGCAGGTTGAGCAGCTCCGGCCGGCGGCACCGCAGCCACTCGTCGCGCGAGGCGACGCGCCCGGCCGCCCGGCCCGCCATGATGTCCGCGGCGCCGCTGTTGCCCGCGTCCGTCGTCGTCGTCTTAGACAGCGGGAGGAACGGGTCGGGCATCGTGGTTTGTTGTGGTAGCTGTTGCCATGTCGGGTACTTGCCCGGTGCGTAGGTTGACGCGCAGGAGACTTCGGCCTGGCGAGGGGATACCTCGTCGATCAATTCGGCACTGTTGGGGACCGCCGCGGCCGCGGCTGTGAGGGCGAGGGCCAGATAGGCGTGGAGAGCTACGAGCCTGGTCATGGCGAATTGAAGTTTGTCAGTTCTTCGTGAGTCGTGCCCTATGGTGACAAAGGTATCGGCTCGAAGCCCGTTCGTCATCGTATATATACCCACGCCATGGTTATATACCCGGTAATATGTTTATAGCCAGAACCCGGTGCAAAGGGTGGTGTAAGGCGGACCATGGATAGCCGGAGAGTAAATGCCCACCCATCTTGTCAGTCTATATCCAATGTGACATCCAACCCCAAACCAGGCGAGTTCTTAATTGTTGCAAAGTCGATACATCCTTTATTAAATTGATAAACGATGGAATTCTCAAGGCTGAGTTGGTGCCAAGACTTGCAAACGAAAAACTTCCGGTAGAGACGGATAGGACACAGACCAAGGACAGACTAGATATAAATCTGCCGATCTCTCAACGAGAATGCAAAGAGAGAGGCCAGACGGTCAATTTAAGCTTAAAGTAGCGATCGGCTTTGTCGCCAAGTGGGTAGTATATTGAAATGTGCCAAGTCCCCCTTTAGCCGCGATCTGGACGAGAAGGGCAGGTCACAGTCACAATAGCAAAGGACAATCTCCCAAGGGGGGGTCGACTTCGGTCTAGTCGGCCGGATGTAACTTGGGGGACTCCATATAATCTTGGATTGATAATGCGCAATTGGTCCATGGCCTTTGCATGTAGAAAGCCGAGGCCTTGTCGAATTTACCAAGTATGTTTGTGTTCTCTGCTCGTCGGCTTCATTGGGTGGCACGGTCGTCTCGGCGCATGGAGCCAAGTCGCATACTAGCGGAACAGGTATTTCAAGGCGAATTTGTTAATGAGGAGGTTTCACATGCGTTGTTTATGTACGCCAAGAGCCAAGGTCATCATCTGAACTTTGTCCCAAGCCGGGAATATGCAAGTCCCCAAGGGTATGCTCTCATGTTTGAAGGTTGGCATAGAGCGAGTCTGATCGGGCCTCGAATGGAGGATGAAGATGATGTGTATGAAGCAGGGAGCAGCAGATTTGTGACAACGATTGTATTTTAACTACAGAAAATTCATGCCAGTCAATGTCCAAGCTGTGTCTGTTATCACGTTAGCCTGGAAGAGAGATAGTTATAGTTGCACAGCATGATGGGCCGTCTGTGATAACGTAAATCGGTATTTCATCTATCAACGTCCATGTCGAATTAGACAGTCGTATTGAACACCACCTTCAATGAGTATCCGTGTGACCTCACTGTGGTGCGACAATAACGATCTGCCAAATGACCCATTTACTTTCATGTTGATTGTTGCAAACGGTGCACATTGGGAAGATCGACTCATTTGACCTTGGCGAAAAGAAGACAAATGTTTGAAGAAATCGTTAGGCAGAGTTCAATTGATTACTCGCCAATGCTTGTCGAAAACGGTATTCTCTTATTTGCCTTGTGATCTGACAGCAGTATAAGAAGCTCCCATAATTCTTGGCGCTATACGCGAGTCGGGTCATATCAAATGCCGACCCAAAGGCTAGCTGAAGATGATTCGACGTTGTTCGCGCGAAGGATGCGGAAAGGATCGCAAACTGAGAAGGACCCACGTTCCGGCTCTCTACCGTGCCGCGTGATCCAGCCATAAATAAGCATGTAACTGGCCTCTAAGAGCGATGCTGAGATTTCAATCATACGATACTTGATGGTGATATAAATATTTCATTGTCCAAGACATTTGCCATCTAATTTCCCTGACAGTCGTACCATTTCACAGATCATTCAAGCTGCGCCACTTTCAACAGTTAATAAAAGTGTTCCAATCGAGCTATTGGCACTTACCAAAGGATCCCACGTTTTATCGATTGAATCGTCAGGCGACACGACTTTCGCCTAGAAAGAACATCTAAACATGGGCCAGGCACCATCGATACCTCGGGACCCGTCCCGACCACTCGAGATTATAGACATGGGATACTCGCGGACGGCCACCATGTCCTTTGCCATGGCGTTTGAGGAGATCCTCGACGGTCCAGCCATGCATGGGGGAACCCAAATGTTTAATCGCGAAGACGGTAAGCCATCAGTTTAGATTAGCTTCAGTCTATCAGATGGACGTATGACTGACACCAACCCCGTCTGCCGTAGCCTACTGCAAGAAGATTAGTCTTCTATACAAGTACAAGCGCGAGGGCGACCGCGAGCGTCTCCTCAAGACGCTCAAGGAGGTCATTGGCGGCTTCGTAGGGTGCTCCGACTGCCCCATGATTCACTTCCTACCCGAGCTCATGGAGCTGTACCCAGAGGCCAAGGTCGTGCTGGTCACGCGAGACCCGGCGCGATGGTGGGACAGCTTCAGTGTGTTTGCGGATGCCGACATCAAGACGCCGCTGTCGAAATGGGCCGTTGAGCTCTTTTTGGCTCCTGTGCCGGGCGCGCGGTGGTTTTCGTCCACTGCGGCGGGGTTTGATGAGGAGTATGTATTGTGTTGCGATTGATTTCTCGGCTTCTTTCTTCTTCTTCAACCCGTCCCCAAACCTATGCGTATCGATCAGACTGACAAGAAGTTCATAGTCTCATACGTACACATGGTGTAGGAAGACAGGACCAGCGATTTCTGGAGAAGCACAATGCTTGGGTCCGAGAACAAGTCCCAAAAGAAAAGCTGCTGGAAATGGACCTGGCTGCAGGGTGGGAGCCCTTATGCACATTCCTCAACAAGCCTATTCCTAACAAACCTTTTCCACGGGCCAACGATCGGGAGGCGCGCGACAAATTTATGCGAGAGAAGGTTCTACAGGCCGGGGTGATCTGGCTCACGATTTTCTCAGCTACTGCAGTTGCAGGTCACAGTTTGTGGCGCTTCTGGAAAAGATGATGGGGCACACTCTTGGTAGGAAATGTCTATCGTTTTGGACGAATTTTCACATCTAGACATTGTAGGAAAGCACGAGAAGACCGTTATCGCTGACCGAATGTGTCCATTTCAGCGTGAACTAATGCAGGCACATGGTTTAATCCGATGTCCTGGCGTGATGTATGGCGTGATCATAATATATACCAACCCTGAGCTACGAAACGGACCACCATTATATCTTGAGTGACAGGAGCAAAAATAGATTGAAACAATAGTAGATACAATAGTATTAGAATATCTAGTAGCTGTTTATTGGGAATAGAAACTATTGCAAAAATCGCATAGGAAAAAGAAAACCAAAAATTTGGGCCTGGCCCGGAGTCGAACCGGGGTCACTTGCAAGCTTTCGGATTTCCCAAAGCAAGTATGATACCCTTACACTACCAGGCCGAAGGGTTACTGTTGTTCTTGTTGAAGAAAGAACGATTAAAATCAAATAGATAGATAGGTCAGATGCAAAGGATAATCCTAAAACGAGACGAGACTTGCTGATGGGCTGTGCAAAACGCCGTGTGAGTCACTGCCGACGACACTTGGCCACACATTCCTCGGCACCAAAGTCGGAACATGAGATAGACTTATCACGCACGTTGAATTTTGAGAGATCAGAGATGTTCGCATTTTTGCATGCATGATATCAGACAAAGTGCGGAATGAGATTATATGCCTTTCACTTTCTACGTATTCAATTCCTTCCGCTCTCGTATTATCGAAGGCATAAATGTCAAGCCTTGTTTTCCTTGGAATTGACAATAAAATCGAGGGCTACGGATATTCTATTGGAAGCATGCACTAAATTTCATTTTCTGGTTAATTGATCAAAAGTAAGGTTCAATGTGATTGATAGCCTATCCCAGACGAGGCCCAAGGCAGCTTCTCCGTCCAGATCAATTCAGGGACGAAAATTGAACAACACCTGCTTAATCAAGTCCGATGTTGTTCATTTGGGCAATCCATTCCACCGAAAGAAGGGTTATGTAGGCTGGGTCCCAGCACAGATGCAGAAGCACAAAAAGAGTCGGATGACGTCGGCTCAGGCTCAGTGGCAATGAAGTCGCTCAAGAGATGGAAGGAGCGAACGGAATGCATTCAAACGAAAACGCAGGCACTCGTTCCGAAGTACGGCAACCTGAGCTTTTGCCAGTGGACAAGGGAATAAGTGTTCCTAGAACTGCCATCGAACTGGAAGATGAGAAAAGAGTTTGACATCAAAAGAGGGCCTGCTCATGATACAATTGACTAAGTTCGCTGCTGGACCATTTGAGACTCTAGGATTCCCAATCTGAGAAGGTTGCATCGCCCAAGCTGTCCATGCTTAGGCATCTCCACGCCATTTTGACTACTGTCACCTCGTCGAAGTTACAGTTTCTCGCCCACTGTGTCGAGCCGGAGATAATGTCATCAACTCAGTCTTCGTTCGAGAGTCCTCTTCGCCCAAGATATTAGAGATGCGGTGCAACCGCTAATCTATCATGCTGCCACTGTTGACAGCGATACAGAGTACGATATCGAAAAGATCTATCAAATTCGGGTCCAGTACCTTGCCTGATCTCTGCAGCCGGCCTCAGTGTTGCTGACAATCTCGTAATCAGATCACGATTGGGACTTTTAATGAACGACCATGGTGTTTGTAAGGCTGACCAGGGCTCACTCCATTGGCATGCAGCCCATGAGTGCATAGAGATTTGCTGCAAACTACAGAGCTCAGATACTGCAGTAAGAGCCATAACCATCGCAGGTCCTCGGGGTAGGGGGCATGACCTGGGTAAACAAAACTGCATGCTAGGTTGGGCTAGTGGCAAGGACGGCAGTTCCTGTTCTTTTTGAGTTCTTTCCTTGTTTTCAAGAGAACAAGAGAATAACACTTCGATCCTGGCAGCAGATCTCATTTTTTTTTTATTTTGTACCGTTTTGACCATCCCTTTTCCCGCCGTGTCGCCTCCTTCTTTCCCTTTTTCATCACAGGCAGGTTTTGTCGTTTAAAGTTTTCAATTATGTGCCATCAGATACATTCCTCAAACAACAAATCCCCCCCCAGACGGACTCTGGGCATTGGTATACAGCTAACCAAAGCCCTGAAAAACTCCCATCGTACGCAAACGACCTGGAGCGCCGCAACAGACCCAGCATGACCAAGTCCTTTGTTGCTTCGCAACGTGATCAGTGGCTCCCGAAAATTTCAACTACGCAGAGCTTTCGAGAGACTCTTTTCACAGTCCGAATTCGTTTCGCAAGAACAAAGAGAACCAGAAACATGCAGCATTATCTGGTGTCACGTTCGACTTCGTCGCTACGCAAGCTTTATTGATGACCAAGGACAGTCTGGACCACGATCGATACATGGCCATGTATACTAGACTAACCCCGAGCATTTATGCGATACCAAACCATTGCATATCGGCATCACCGAAAATTGCAGCGGTATGACCAACACCCTGAAGCCATACGTCAGCAATTTGCTTGTGCCGAAGAAGGTAAAAAGATTATGAAAGGGTCGGTCCAAAACTTACTGTTCCATACACGCCCTCGACGTTCTCGCCATAGATGTACCTCGTATACGGGCTATCCGGGTCATTGACCAAGGTCTGTTGGGGTGTGTCGCTGTACCCAAAGACGCCAGTCCACTGCTTGATGGTCTCATTGTAGTTTTGCGGGTACAATGTCGTATCGACATTACCGTGGTGGATGCGCATGCGTGGACGGGCGCCCGTGTAGCCCGGGTACATTTGCTCAACCACGTTCGTCCAGTAAGCCTGCGATTCAATCACCTGTCCCTGCGAGCACGTCGAGTTCCAGCCGTCCACGGTGCCTGTGTAGAAGCAACCAGCAGGTACGCCCGAATAGGCCACGCCCGCGGCGAACATTTCAGGGTATGTGGCCGCCAAGACGTTTGTCATCATGGCGCCGCTGCTTGAGCCCGTGACAAAGACGCGCGACGCGTCGGCCCCGTACGTGGAGATGGTGTAGGTGACCATGTTGGCAATGGATTCGCTGTCAGCGCCACCGTCGTGCGTCAGTGCCGCCGTGGAGCTCACATCCCAGCAGGTGCCAGAGTATGGGGATTGCGGATAGATGACAATGAAGCCATACTGTTCAGCCAATGTCGCATACGGTGTGCCAGAGTAATAAGCCGATGCTGTTCCTGTACAGTAGTGGATTGCGACCACGATGGCTGGGTTTGATGCCACGTTGTCGGGCACATAAATGTACATCAGTGTGCCCGATGCATTGTCGCCAAAGTTTGTCACCTGGGTCAAGGAAGCTCGTTTGCCTAGCTTTTGCGTTGGGCCCGAGGCCGCAAGCTGGCTCGTGATGGCCAAGAGAAGAAAAGTGATGAGTTTGAGGAACATGATTGCTAATCGACTAAATTGGATGACTAGATCTTCGAGTTCATGATGTGCCACGAGGGCCAAGATCTGATATTTATAACCCACAAATTATCTTTCAACCACGAACGACCAGAATTTGACGTCAACAACATCAACGGCAGCCCAACAAAGAAGCAAGAACCTATCATTTCATCGTGGGGAATCTTTCGCCCCGGACGGGTTACTTCCGAGTCGAACAAGACGGGCATAAAGTAACCATTAAGTGGATTCATCCCTGGTCATCGGTGGAACGGCGCTTCAATCAAGGCACACATGCCTTGGCCGGCACGGACCCGGAGACCAAGTGCCGGATGATGGCAATAGGAACCTAGTTCACGTCGCGCGGTGATGAAAAGAGTACGGCAGCAACGCGGAAACATGGACTAACGAGGCTGCCCAATAATAACAGCGTTGATATCCTTTTAGCCTTCAGCACCAAGGAGACCGCTCCGAGTATTTTCGTCATGGTCCGGGGTACGGAGGGATGCATAATATTGAGTGACCCGGGTAAAAGTCACGGAGCTGCTTGGCCTATTTTCTCCGCCAATTGCCTCCTCATTGGCGCGCGTCTCCTACTCCACACATGTCACACAACCCACCCCCGGTCCGGGGAGTTGGGGGATTCAATGTTCCCCGTTTAGGAATCTCAGAGGTTAAATTGAGACTAGGGATTCCGGTCGAGAGGAGGAGTTCAGTGTCACCCTTGACCTAGCCACGATTTCTTTCGCTGGCTGTGCACAGAAAAAGGCCTTTATCAACGAATGGCCTACCGGTCACCGTTACTGGACGTGTGCAGATAACCACTCGTTGCATACTCACGGTGCAGCTAATGTTCAGACTGACAACTCTGGTGATGAGGTCTTAGTCTGTTCAGCTGCGGAACTCGAGTTGAAGAATACTTGCGCAAGAATCCAACATACTCAATGGGACAGCGTGAAAATGTAAACATTATTGTTTGGATCTATCAGTACATATCAATCTACTTGGAAGCTTGTCTTCTTGGTGATCCCTTGGATGTCTTCTTCAGTCTCGCCAAGCGTCCGAGCCCACTTGCTTCCATCGCCATTGCTGGTCTTGACCTGAACCCGATAGTCGTGTTTATCGTTGCGGAGGCTCACTCTGGTCCCGGGCCGCGCTTCTCCTCCAAGCTCAAGATCGTGCTTGTTGGCAACAATGATTGTTTGTTCTTCCTCGGGTTCCTCTTCCATCTTCGTAAACGTCGTCATGCTAAATAGACTCTTTGGCGTCTTGCGACTAAAGGAGCTCTTGCTGCTGCCCTGGCCAAAGGTTCGGAGTCCAGCCGACGAGGGCGCCTGGTTGCTGTCCTCTGCTCCCGTGAAGCCGAGTCGGCGAAGCGTCATTTTCATCAGCGGTCGAAGTGTCGCGAGACTACCGGCGGCAATGGCTAGTCCCATCTCAATCTGAGACCAAATGGCAATGTCGGTCGTCGAGTCTAACATTGGTGATAGGTAAGTAAATAGTTGGAAAGGGGGCGCGCGCGCCCGGCGGGGGG